CGAGTTCGTCACATATATATATATATATATATATATATATATATATATATATATAGCATTTAAGCATTTTATTTTATGTAGTATTTTTATTGAAATTAAAATATGGGCAGTAAACAAATACTGACTAGAAAAAACTATATATATTCTCTAAAAATATAAATATAGTAAAAAAAATAGTGTTTTTATTTTCTACGTAAAATAAAAATGCAATTTTTTTACTATATTTTTATTTTTATGTATAAGAAATACATCTTTATATTTATATTTCTTTTATTTGTATTATTTTTATTTTTATAAAAATCTAGCACTCTAACAAATACTGATATATATAAACTTAATCAGCATCACTTAATGTCTGCTCATCAGAAAACTGCTTTCTAAAGCACACAGAGAATTAAATAGATCACATAAATTAAAGCGTGTGCTTAAACGAGAGACTGGGCTCGCAGCAACTCTCATGATTTTTATGTATAAGAAATACATCTTTATATTTATATTTCTTTTATTTGTATTATTTTTATTTTTATAAAAATCTAGCACTCTAACAAATACTGATATATATAATCAGAAGCCATGAAATTAAAATGTTAAATTATTGATGTTCCCAAAAATACTTTTTCTTCAAGCTAACCATAATTCCCTATATATATATATGAAGAGATTATTTGCAAAAAAAACTCATAAATCATGTTTTTTATTATGTTATCATATTTTTATTGTGTTTTATTGTGTTAGTTATCTGTATTTTTTAGTTATTTTATTTAATCAAAACAACCCAACTGCAGTTTGATTGACTTTTTCTTCAAGCTAACCATAATTCCCTGTGTCTTTCTTTTGATTTTGTTGTGAGATCTGACCTGCACAAGTTCTAAGGTTTCTCGACATTCCCCTTTCTACTTGATGAGAACTGGATGAAAAAGTTTGCAAGTCAAATCAAACTGTATATTTAAACATCTTTCTGTGAAATGTGATTGCAGGACGAACTCGTGTATATTCAGTCAGACGTTTCAATAAAATGGTTCGTTACAACCACAAACTGCAGAAAACAGAGGAGGAAAGAGAGTCAGACTCACTCAAGACGTAAAGCGAGAGTCTGATCGCCGCCAGACAGAAGCCTTCGAAGAAGCGCAGCGTGCTGAACATGGCCATATCCACAGAGAAGGCCACGGCCAAACCGAACACCAGCACAGACAGCACAGACACCAGCAGCACGGGGATCCGGCCCAACCTGAGACGCAAAACACTGTCAGAGAACCAGCGCAACATCACAGACGCGCGAGTGTGTCTCTGACGTACCAGTCTGCCATCGCTCCCATCAGCAGGTAACCGAAGATAGAGCCCACCAGCAGAGAGAACTTAGCGATGTGAACCTTCCACTCGCCGTCACACACCAGCGTCCACTGCAACACAAACAGATGCACAACACAGCTCAGATACAGCGCTGTCTTTCTCGAAATAATTAAACAGGCCCATATGGAACTAACTTTAATACGTTTATTACCAAATATGATGCAACCTGTTAAAAAAAAAAACTAAAAAGCAAACTTTTGTGATATTGTTTTCATGTCAGTTAAGCACATTATTCCTTACTTTAATTATCATCACAAAACAAATCAAAATTATCATTGAAAACTATTTTTATTGCTGCAATGTGTAAAAATAAATGTATTCATTTTAACTATATAATACTTATACATGATGATAATATTTCTTATGTATTTTCTTATATGTGTGTGTGTGTGCTTATTTAAATTATTGTATTGGAGTATTTTACTGTAATACAGTGAAACCAATTTGTGAATTAGTGAATTTTAATAATATTTTTATGTCAGTTAAGCACATTTCTTACCACTATTTATCATAAAAATAAATTTTTATTACTTTAATATGTGTAAATAAAAGCACTTATTGTCATACTTTAATTTATGCTGATTTAATAGCTTGTATTAGAGTATTTTATTGTAATACAGTAACAGCAATTAGTGAATTACACTTGGGAATAATACGAATGTGAACTTAAGAGTGTTATGTCACCTTTAAAAACTAAAATATAAAGATGTTACATATTTTATACTATTTTCATGTCGCTTAAGCACATTTCTTACCACTATTTATCTTAACAAAATATATTTTTATTACTGTAATGTGTACAAATAAATGCATTTATTGAAACTATATATACAATAAGTATGATGGTAACATTTCTATTTTAATTTAAGCTGATTTACATTCTTGCATAGAGTATTGTATTGTAATATAGTAATAACAATTTGGGCATTGCAATGAATCAGAATTAGAATTAAACTAAAAGAATCCAGGTGCATTACAATAATAAACATTTGGTGGTGAAATGTACACAAATATCATAAAAAAATAATGTCACAATGCAACAAATAGGTTTTATTTTCTTAATGCAAAATATAATTAATTTCTTTTCAGATGGAAAAAGAAAGAGAAAACCCAAGTTTAAGCACTAAGTATACAGAAACAGGGTCTAAAATACAAAATGCCTTTAACAAAACTCTTGCATGACTCACTTCACAAGGACATTGTGTTTGCAGCACTGAAACAAGACAATTACGATGACAAATTTCATTAGAAGAGTTTACATGGACCAATAAACTTGACTAAAGCTGAAGTGAACAGATATCCTCTCTCCTGCAGACAGTGTCGTCACATCCTCGGAATGCTTCATTAGCATTTGTTTGCACGGCCGGCAGCATGAATGAAGCTCTTTAACACACTCAGTGAAGACACTAGGCTACCGGTGTGAGAAAGGTCACACACACACACAGCAGGTCAGCAGGACATCGACCAAAGACTCTGAGAAAAACATCCAGACAGGAACGCAGAGCTTTATCTCAGACTCACTGATAAAACACTGAGTCTGGAGGAAAGCATGTGCTTGTTAGGGCTGAACTTATGGAAGCTTGTTTCCAACGCAGGATAAAAAGTTAAAATATAATTGCAAATTTTTATATTACAACTCCTCACAATTCTGAAAAAAGTCACAATTGTGAGATATAAAGTCAGAATTGTAAGATATCGTTTATATCTCGTAATTTGAGTTTATTTAGCAATTCTGACTTTATCTCTCAATTCTGAGTTTATATCACAATTCTGAGTTTAAATTTCGTAATTCTGAGTTTAAATCACAATTCTGAGTTTGTATCACAATTCTGAGTTTATATCACAATTCTGAGTTTATTGAAAT